CCGTAAAAACAACGTTTTTCACTATAAATCCTTTATATGCGTGGCGGCTAGAGTCCTCTCGTCCTCTGGCTTGAGATAGCTGCCACCTATGGGTCAGATGATTGTCTGCAGTATTAAACAATTGGTAATTAAATATTTAATTTGTTTTCCCTAAAAGGTGTAACATTTTGGAATTTTTTTTCACGAACATTAATTGTCACGCACGAGTCTGTGTGCAAAATGTCAGCTCGATTGGATCACGGGAAGTGGGTTAAAAAACGACCGAAAGGTTTGCACGGTCGTAAGCGCGCAAGCAAGCGAACTTAATATAAAGGATTTAAAAAGCCGAAGAGTCTTCGCCAACATTGTCAACGCGCGCCCGGAATCTTCTACAGGTGCAGGTCTCCAGAGGCCGGAGGCAGCACGTTCTCCTGTGCTGTTGTTGCAAAGTCTCAGAAGTGTTCACTTGTTTCTGAAGCACTCCCCCCCCCTGTATTCACAACAGCATAAGAGAGACGGGGGAGGATGACTGTGCGTGTACATGCACGCTATTGAGTGGCAAACTTTCACGCGACTGGCAAAAAACCAGGACTTGCCAAGTCACGTTTCTGCGAAGACTTGGAGATATCCCACGGGAGCCGACCTCCATAAGAAGATGATCTTGGGGGGGGGGGGGGGGGAACCAGTACGGGTGGCAAACTCGCGTCGTAAAGAATTACAAATGATAACTGTGGCAATCTACTGATATCAATTTAATGAAATGAAATGCATCAATGCAGGGATATTACATCAAAGCAAGGACAGGTGGCAACCTCGCGTCTTAAAACAAAAATACTGTAAAAATCACACTCGTTTTGAAAATATAGTGGCGTCACTTAAATTAAATTCGATATGACGTCAGCGCGGGGGAGTCGTGACATCGGTTCACGGTGACCTTGGCGTCTTTGTTCGTTTTGCTCACTAGACGGGATTCGAAGCCGTGTCCTTCACGTGTCAAGGGTGACCCACCCTTCCTGTCCTGTCCCCTCGGCAATGCCGCCTCCACAGGGACAACCAACCCCTCTATCCCTAATGAACATCTGTTGCATCACCCAATTCCCTGACCCCCACCCCTGCCCCCAGATTGTGCCCGATGTAGTACAGGGACTACCTCTACTTACAAACATTCGACTTGGGAACTTTCAGAGATACGTACAAACCTGTCCGTATGTCCCGTTACCGCAGTTCAACGATGCGATTGCCCATCACAAGTTGATTTGTGCAGAGATGAAGAGAACAACTGTGCAGACATCTCTTAGTAGGTATTTCAAGAGAATAGAGAGGAAACACGTGCCAAAGGGAATTAGCATCTACATCTGCAGAACGTGAAGAATCAGTGGCATCTACATCTACAAAACGTGAAGAACCAGTGGCATCTACATCTGCAGAACGTGAAGAACCAGTGGCATCTACATCTGCAGAACGTGAAGAACCAGTGGCATCTACATCTGCAGAACGTGAAGAACCAGTGGCTTCTACATCTGCAGAACGTGAAGAACCAGTGGCATCTACATCTGCAGAACGTGAAGAACCAGTGGCTTCTACATCTGCAGAACGTGAAGAACCAGTGGCATCTACATCTGCAGAACGTGAAGAACCAGTGGCATCTACATCTGCAGAACGTGAAGAACCAGTGGCTTCTACATCTGCAGAACGTGAAGAACCAGTGGCATCTACATCTGCAGAACGTGAAGAACCAGTGGCATCTACATCTGCAGAACGTGAAGAACCAGTGGCATTTACATCTGCAGAACGTGAAGAACCAGTTGCATCTACATCTGTAGAACGTGAAGAACCAGTGGCATTTACATCTACAGAATGTGAAGAACCAGTGGCATCTACAGCTCTCTCCCTCCCTGCCCTTTTGTCTCTCCCCCTTTCTGCCCCCCCGTCTCTCTCCCTCCCTGCCCCCCTCTCCCTCCCTGCCCCCCTCTCTCTCCCCCTCTCTGCCCCCCTCTCTGCCCCCCCGTCTCTCCCCCTCTCTGTCCCCCCGTCTCTCTCCCTCCCTGCCCCCCTCTCCCTCTCTGCCCCCCCATCTCTCCCCCTCTCTGTCCCCCCATCTCCCTCCCTCCCTGGGCCCCCGTCTCTCTCCCTCCCTGCCTCCCCGTCTCTCTCCCTCCTTCCCAACTGAATCCCCCTAACCTCTCGCTTATAAATCGACGAAGGCTCGGCGCCCTCTGATGTCTCTCTCTCTCTTCCTGTCTTCCCCTCGCCTCCCCTTCTCTTTGCCGATCTCTCGCGACGTCTCTGCCCCTCCCCTCATCTCGCCCCGTCTCTCTCGCTCCGTCCGAACCGGACCCCCCTAGCCTCTGCCTCAAGAACCGTTGAATGAAATTCCTCTGATGGCTGTCTCTCTCTCTCTCTTGCCGCGCTCCCCACGCCGCCTCGTCTCTGCGTCTCTCGCTCGCCGCGTCTCTGGCCCTCGACTGTTGCTGCGCCGTCTCTCTCTCCCCTCTTCCCCTCCCGCTCCCCGACTCCGCCCCGGTTCCGTGCCCCTCAGGCCGAGCTCCTGCCCCTCGCTGACCTTCATCTGCCCCCCCCCCCCTTCGCTCCCCTCCCTCACGAGACCTCCCACGCACAATTCCTTGGTCCCATCCCTCTCTCGCCTCGCTCCCGCACTTCTTCATGGAAGCTCTTCGTGGGACGCGTCTCCTCCGGGCGCCGTTCGGCCTCCTGCACGCACCTCCTGCACGCACCTCCTGCACGCACCTCCTGCACGCACCTCCTGCACGCACCTCCTGCACGCACCTCCTGCACCGCCACTGCCAAAGACAAAGATCCCCCGTATAGCCTCTAACAGACTGTCGGGGGCAAGTGCTGTTAGCGAGTAGCAGCACTTATCAAGGCCGGCACTGTGGCACACGGGGGGGTGGGTCACCACGATGCTTGTGCACACACCACACACACACAGTCACACACAGTCACACACACACACAGTCACACACAGTCACACACCCCACAGTCACACACCACACACAGTCACACAAACACAGTCACACACCACACACACCACACACACACCACACAAACCCACCTTGGAATGAATTGTGCACGTGTACTGCAGCTGCTGCTACTGCAGCTGCTGCTGATGCTGCTACTGCTGCTGGAGAGACGTCGCTGCGCCTTCGAAAGAGGCTGCTGCAACTTGCTGAATCCGCTCCCTGTTGAGCTGCACTACTGCAAGTTCAAGTTCATGTATTAGGTGTAGCCCTGTGAGTCTGGTGCAACCGCAACAAACAAAAAACAAAAGCATGAACAAAAAACATCTTAAAGTGACTATGTGACTAAGTGCAAACAGAAAATGTGGCGAATGGGGGTTGTTGTTGTTGTTGTGTGTCGGTGTGTGTGTCTGTGTGTGTGACTGTGTGTGTGTCTGTGGTGTGTGACTGTGTGTGTGGTGTGTGAGTGTGTGTGACTGTGTGTGTGGTGTGTGACTGTGTGTGTGTGACTGTGTGTGTGTGACTGTGTGTGTGGTGTGTGCACAAGCGTCCTGGTGACGTCACCACCACTTCAAGTTCAAGTATTAGGTGTAGCCCTGTGAGCCATTCGGCTCTTGAATCGGGTACAACCGCAACAAACAAAAACATGAACAAAAAACATCTTAAAGTGAATATGTGACTGAGTGCAAACAGAAAATCTAAGAAAAGACAGCAAAATATTGCAGACAAAAAATCACAGTTACACCAACTCTGTGTGCAAAAATCCCAACAGACAACAAATCGATTAACGAATTAAATCGGCTAACCCTCTATAGATTATTGGTTCTTTCTGTTATAAAGTCACGTAAATAGAAAAAAATTATAATAAAATATTGAAAAAATGGCGTGTTTTGCTTTTATTATTTTCCATTTTTTTTTCTTATTTTTTATTTTCCATCAACGCGATTTTACCAAAAGAACCAAGAATATGAATTCCTGCAGCCACGAAAGTTTTAAGTCTAAATTGATCCGCTAAGCCGTCAAGGCAAGTGATCTGTTAATCAATTGCTGTTATAACCGTACCGGCTTCAAGTAGCAGCAGCAGCAGCACAGAGACACGTGGCACCACTGCAGCTCCCACGTGACAGCGTCTGGCCACGCCCAGCGCGGGTCACGTGTCAGGAGGGGGCGGGGCTTACGCACCACGTGGGCAGAGCCCCCAGGTGTCATTGGCTGTCTGCGTGGTGTCGTCTATGGGTCTCTGTGCGTGAGTCAAGTTCAAGTTCATGTACTAGGTAGAGCCCTGTGAGCCATTCGGTTCTTGAATCGGGTGCAAACTGAAAAAACAAAAAAACATGAACAAAAAAACATCTTAAAGTGACTACGTGCAAAATGAAAAAACAAACAAAAAACTAAAACATGAACAAAAACATCTTAAAGTGACTACGTGCAAAATGAAAAAACAAACAAAAAACAAAACATGAACAAAAAACATCTTAAAGTGACTATGTGACTGAGTGCAAACAGAAAATCCAAGAAAACACAGCAAAATATTGCAGACAAAAGTCACCGTGTACACCAACGCTGTGTGCAAACATCCCAGTGGGATGCAAGTCAAACAACAACAACCACAAGACAGCTTAGAGAGTCGATGGGTCTCTATCAGTAATTCTACATTTGAAGCTTTCGTGACTGCCAGGAGTAGGTTTTATCGGTAAAGTCACGTAGGTAAAAATACAAAATATAAATAATATAAATAAAATAATAAATCACGACGTTTCGGAGGCAACACAAACTTCCTTCATCAGGTGTAAAAAGGCACAGAAAAAAAAAAACTGTACGTCGTGATTTATTATTTTATTTCTATTATTATTGACATTATTTTTTACTATTTATCTCTCCTGTAGTCTATGGGTCTCTGTGACCCCCCCCGTGAGGATCGTGAATCGAGGTCAGAATCGACCGACGGCTTGCAATCGAAGTCGATTCTAACGTAATCGCATGGAGGAATCGATCCACGGATCGATCCGACGACATCACCGTTAACCAAATCGCAATGGAGGTAGAAGCCAACAGCTTCCATCGAGTCGCGAAGTTGCCACCTCCTCTACCTCCTCCTCTACCTCCTCTACCCCCTCTACCTCCTCTACCTCCTCAATTGCCTCGCGACATCAACGACCCTCCCACAGCAACAGCGGCAGCGGAATCAGCAACAACGAAGTCAACACCCGCCACTGAGGCCTACACCGCCATGCAGCCTGCGGTCTCTGCCCAAGCCGCGTCGCATTCTGCGGGGGAGATTCAGGCGAGGGGCGGTGGCTGCGAGGAGGAGGAGGAGGAGGATGAAGCGATGCAGTTGCTGACCATCGTAACCGGCGATCTCATCTCCGGCTACGTGGCTCACCTGACGCAGCAGACGAAGCAGCAGCAGCAGCCTGTGCAGCAGCAGCAGCCTCTTCTGCAGCAGCAGCTGCAGCAGCAGCTTCAGCAGTTGCAGGAGCAGCTCCCGGCGGTGCAGCAACATCTCCTGCTGTCGCAGCAGCAGCAGCAGCAGTGGATGGAGAAGCTCTGGCAGCAGCAATTCCAGCACATGCAGCAGGTGCAGGAGCAGCTCCAGCAGGTGCAGCGGCAACAGGAGCTTGTGCAGCAGCTGCAGCAGCAGGAGCAGCTCCTGGATGTGCAGCAGCAGCAGCAGCTGCTGCAGGAGCTGCAGAAGAAGTATCAGCTCCAGGAGGTGCAGCTGATGCGTCGGTTCAAGCAGCTGCACGAAATGCAGCAGGAGCATTTCCAGCAGTTGCAGCAGTTCAAGGAGTGGCAGGAGCTGCAGCGGCAGGCGCGGAAAATCCAGCGGCAGCTCCGGGAGGTGCGCTCGCTGCTCCAGACCTCCCGGCGGCTGGTGCGGATGCGTGTGGAGCTTCTGCAGGAGGCGCTGGACACCCGAGGAGACGCGTTGCTGGCGGAGTTCGAAGCCTCCATCCCAGACTTTGTGAGGCGCGCGGAGGAGCTGGCGAAGCAAGTGGACCCGCGCCGGCTGGTCATGACCCTGGCTTGGCAGGTTCTCACCGCGGGGCCCATGAGCTGGGGCTGCGTGCTGTCCATGGTGGTGTTTTGCGCGCTGCTCGTCAAGAACCTGAGGGCCTCCGGTCGTCTGGGCGACTCGGAGGAGACTTGGCCCTTGACGGACGCGGTGGCCGCTGTGCTGTTGACCACACGCAAGACCTGGCTCATGGAACAGGGAGGCTGGGTGAGGGGTTACACACCGCTACCATCAACACCACTGCGCCGGAACAGCGTGTTGGTAATTACAAGCCCATGAGCTGTACAAAATCGAGCAACCTCCTACCGTTGTTATTGAGTTGATCTGACCCATGTCCTCCAATCACTCCAGACCAGGTGCCAGCATCATGACCAACTCGGGCATTGAAGTCACCCAACAAGATTCACTCTATCCCGAGGGGCCATTTTAGCCAGCATCTGTGACATGAGGTCATAGAAGGTATCTGACTCATCGGCCTTGTCTGCATCCCTCCACGGATGTTCGTCTTCGGTGGGGGCATAAGTAACCACGACCACCACTCCTCGCCTCTGGTTGATGGAAAGGTGAGCCCAAAGTTGTCTGGGGCTTACAAATTCCCACACCTCACCGCCACGCTCCCATGCCCCCTTCATTCTTTTATTCAGAAGAAGAGCCACTCCCTGTTGTTTGGCAGTCTCCTGCCCCCAGTAGAGGACTGTCCACCCCTCATGATGTCAGGAGCCAGAGCCGGTCCACCGGACCTCCTGAATGCCACAGCGATCCAGGCAGTACCTGTCCAGCTCCCGACAGAGGAGTGGCAGCCTCTCCTCAGCAGTGAGCGTTCGAACATTCCACGCGTTCAACCAAAGTGTCTCACTACCCAGTGTCTCACCACCCAGTGTCTCACAAGCATTGTCTCACTACCCAGTGTCTCACTACCCAGTGTCTCACTACCCAGTATCTCACTACCAGTGTCTCACTGCCCAGTGTCTCTGTACCAGTGTCTCACTACCCAGTGTCTCACTACCCAGTATCTCACTACCATTGTCTCACTGCCCAGTGTCTCTGTACCAGTGTCTCACTACCCAGTGTCTCACTACCCAGTGTCTCACTACCAGTGTCTCACTACTCAGTATCTCACTACCTAGTGTCTCACTAGCGGTGTCTCACTACCCCGTGTCTCTGTACCAGTGTCTCGCTACCCAGTGTCTCTGTACCAGTGTTTCACTACCCAGTGTCTCACTACCCAGTGTCTCACTACCCAGTGTCTCACTACCCAGTGTCTCTGTACCAGTGACTCACCACCAGTATCAGATCATAGAACAACGCCAAAAGGTGATGATGATGACGATGATGGTGGTGGTGGGGCTCTCTTTCCGTTCTGTTTCTGTGCTGCCACACAGGAGGGCTTCCTGCGAGCGTTCGGGCCGGGGACGCCCACCTAGGAGAGGAGCCGTAGACGCCGAGCTCCGACGGGCAGCGACAGTGAAGACGAGAAGAGAGACAGAGACTTTGGACTTGTACACAACTTTTATTGCCGCCAGCAGCAACAGCACTGGAGGCGATTCCGATATGAAATACACAAAGTCACCAGCAAACAAACGAATGAACGCTGTAAATCCACACGCTGTGGCGCTAAATGCAGCGCAACACGAAATAAAAGTCACGTGGTGGTGGTTGTGGTGGTGGTGGTGGTTGTGGTCATCTCGCACGCCACGGTGACGAGCGAGCGCCTCAGAAGAGAGACAACGGCCATCACCAAGCCATGTCAATTTTTTACTTTTCTCTTTACAAAAATGAGGCTTCCATTAACGTGTGGTCCGACCTCTGTCAGGCGTTGAACAGTAAAATAGTACAAGTCTTTAGAAAGTGCATCATAATATCTGCATCGTTAATATTTTTAAACTTGAGGGAATTAATTTTTTGGCAGTGGCAATGAGAGATGCAAACATTTAAATGGCTCGGGGTTTGAATCGGATGAAAATTCAGAGGCGTTAAAAGGTGCTAACTACCAACCTAAATGTTCAAAGAATTGTCGTGGGATACGTTTGATTGTGTGCGTTTACACAATTTGACTTGAAGTCTTGAAAACTGGTTACACAGAAACAAAACTTACAGCCAAGAAATTGTGGTGACGTGTTGTTTTAAATTGCCTGAATTTCTGTAAAACACTTGTTTAAGTGACAATGTCAGACTTGTCTTTGATCGTTCATAATGAATTTTGTGTGTTCAGCGTTACCGACGTAAGTCGTGATTTTTAAACGTAATCTTAACTTTTAATGGAACATAAATCTTAAGTAGTAGAGCTGTGTCAAAATATATAGCTGGATACTCGCAGTCGCCTCAAAAAAAGTAATTTTCATGTTCCGAGAAAAGGATTCTTTTGAAAGTGTTCGTTTTTTTCGGTAAAGTCACGTAGGTAAAAAATAAAATTGAAGATAAAAAAATATATATTTAAAGATAATTATTTTATTTATTTTATCTATTAGTATTTCTACATCACGTAGGGGAAAATAAGAATAAAAATAATAAAAGCAATAGAAATAAAAGAAAATGTTATATATAATTTTTTTATTTTTTGTTTGTATTATTATTTATATAAATTGTATTTACTTATTTTTTACCCACGTGACTTTACCAGAAAACACCTAAGAGTATGAATCCTTGCAGTCATGAAAGCGTCAAATCTAGAATGGATTATTTTTAAATCTGTTCTCTTAGTGTACTAAGCAACCAAAAACGATATCCTCAGGAACAGAGGATGAAGCTTTAGTTATGGAATGTCCCGTCGGGTCCTAAAGATTGTTGACCTGTGAGAACATCACGACGCCTTTTATCTTATAATCCTGTGGGAAGTCGACAACATGCACAACGCAGCAACACTCACGACAAACATCGTTTAGTTCCTGTCGGCATTGGTCATGACGTATTCATATCGTGTACAAAGTCCTCTTCAAAGATCTCTGGCCAACGTGAAAAAGTCAAAATTACCCCTCCCCCCCGCCTCTCGTGGTGCCCCATCTGCCAGCGGTGGCACGAGCAGGAATTGCAGGGCTGCGCCTCTACCTTTGACACAATGTCTGCCAATAATGGGGGGATCAATAATAACACGGTGAGTGTTGACTGAGATTACATTATTGATGTGAAACTATCTGCAATAAATTACGTGCTGCGTCTCTTAAAACATTTGTGCCTTTTTTTCTCGCCGTGCTTCAAGAACAATTTTCCTGGAGGCTTGTTGCATTTGTTTAAATCCATGTTTTATAGACATACGTAGTGAATCCAACTGAGTCGGAAGACGTCTTGGGAGCAACGCTATTTCACCAACTCAACACAACACGAGCTACACTTGGGTGTTGAGTTGTGCGCCTTGTGGCGTCATCTGGTCCAACACCAATGGAGACTGGGCTCTAAGGAAAGCTGTCTCGGGTGTGGACCAATCAACTTCAAGGACAGTGCATATCATCATCATCAGAGTTTCTTTTTGTTTGCATTTTGACTGCTTGTGTTGTGGTTATTGCAAACATGACCCCTTGTATAAAGGTGTCAGTTTTGTACCAGTTGAAAGGGTAAAAATCTACTACTATGTTGAGGGCCCATCTATCCCACGCTACGGCACAACTAGACACGGCTCGCTATCCCGGCCCGGACCACGAGCTGCTGTCTCCCGGAGCGCGTGGCTAGAGGCTTCTTCTCCCCGAATCTTCTTCACCGGCCACACGAAGAACCCACGACCCCCCCACGGGCCCCCCCCCCCCCCGTTATATCGGCCTGGGCTGGGCTGGCTCCGGCCCTCGCCCCGCCCACCTTCTAGATCTCTCCGACTCTTTCACGAAGGCTCCCGAGAGCTCTTCTATACCACGTGACCGTCCAGCCGCCCCCGTCCACCGGTGGCTCCCCTCCAACATCATCCGGTGACGAGTCGGCAGGTCAACCGGCGTATCGTGCCCCAACGCAACCCTGGCTGGCTGACGCTCCCTCTCGCTCCCTCACCGCACACTGCACGTGGTGCCTCCGCGCTGACCAGCGCTCACCCAAGTCCCCGCTAGCGCTGCTGGTACTACGCCCAGTGAGCGGGCTGCACGTAATGCCAACACATTATCCGCCGTAGCTTCGTAAGCCCGGCAGCACACGGTGACATTCACAGTCACTACATCACCCCCCTCTCTGTAGCTTCCAGCCGTCCCGGCTGCCAACTCCCCCGCAAGTAAGCAACCGACGTACAATTATACAGAACAACAAGCAGGTGCGCTCCTACAATAACAAGACAGCACGATAAATTACCCAAACCCAACTGTACAATATGTACACCGAGAGAGAGAAAAAAAACACAGCAGCGAGAGAAATTAACAACACAACAATCGCGTCCTACAAGATCCCCACAATAGACATCTCCCACCCACAACGTGTAAACAACGCCCGTCAGCTCGATGGCGGAAAGGATCAGCCAAACGCTCGCCACGACTCACGCGAGCGCGACAAGCCACGGCGGTGTGGGAGCGTGCAACGCGCGGGGATCGTGAGAGTCGAATCTTCGAACGAGTCCGTGACGCCGGCCCTCCAGGTGGGTCGGGCTCATCTGCCCTGGAAGCAGAGGTCGCAAACGGGTTTTGATTCCTTACCCGTACCAGTACCCGGCCGGGTGCGGGTTCCCGTACGCCACCCGTACCCTACCCGAAATGAGTGACAAACGGTTACTCACCGGTGACTCACGGCCTACCCGTACCCTACCCGAAATGAGTGACAAACGGTTACTCACCAGTGACTCACGGCCTACCCGTACCTGGCCGCACCAGGGTCGCAAACGGGTACCCGTACCAGTACCCGGCCGGGTACGGGTAGCCGGCTATCGGGTAGGGTACGGGTATCGGATACCTGATTGTGACCTCTGGGATGAAGCCATGTTGCAGGCGCGAGTGGGTTGATTCTATGAACTTGAATTGTGAGAAGAGACAAGACGTTGGGAAATGAGTGACAAACGGTGACTCACCAGTGACTCACGGCCTACCAGTACCCGGCCGCACCAGGGTCGCAAACGGCTACCCGTACCCGGCTGGGTACGTGTAGCCGGCTATTGGGTAGGGTACGGGTATCGGGTACCCGGTTGCGACCTCTGCCTGGAAGCTGACTCCCCACGAAGAGCAGTCGACCGGGTCGTCGTGTCCTTCACGTTCAGAGCACGCGAGGCCGACACGAGCGGACGCACGGCCCGGCTCGCCAGGCACAGCCCACACTCGGCCCCTGCGATACGGAGAGGAGACAAACTCACACGGCGAGAGGGGTGTACAAACCAGCTCCGCTTACCAAACTGAATCCACGGTTGCGGCAGCAATGTGGGAGGTGTGCCCACCGGCACCTGCGGACAATGCAACCAGGTCCTGTCCCCCCCGGCGACTAGTCGCACAGGGAAACACGGGCAACTGGTTTCAGGTAATTTTTTACGAAACATTTGAAAATTCCCGCCAATTCGGTGGGGGTCAGGAAGCCTTCGGGTGACTCCGCGCGTGAAAGTATAATAAGTAAATGTTGTGAAAATAAAGAAAGTAACCCTCGTTAATCGTTGCCACGTCGTTTATCCCGATAAAGTTGAGGTAAATGTCCCTCACGACAACCTAACGCGCCTGATTTTAACAAAAAAATCTGTAAAAGTATGTCAGCTTATACTTTACTAGCTCGGTTTGCCAATCCTAGAACGGAAGCTGTAATATTTACGAAAAAATTGAGCCGATAATAGATTTAATTGCAGTGAATCTTGAAAAAGTGAGTGAGTGAGTGGGTGAGTGAGTGGGTGGTGAGTGGGTGGGTGGGTGAGTGGGTGGGTGAGTGGGTGAGTGGGTGAGTGGGTGAGTGAGTGAATGAGTGGGTGAGTGAGTGGGTGGTGAGTAGGTGGGTGAGTGGGTGGGTGGGTGAGTGGGTGGGTGAGTGGGTGGGTGAGTAGGTGGGTGAGTGGGTGGGTGAGTAAGTGAGTGGGTGGGTGAGTGAGTGGGTGGGTGAGTGGGTGAGTGGGTGAGTGAGTGAATGAGTGGGTGAGTGAGTGGGTGGTGAGTAGGTGGGTGAGTGGGTGGGTGGGTGGGTGAGTGAGTGGGTGGGTGGGTGAGTGAGTGGGTGGGTGGGTGAGTGGGTGGGTTGGTGAGTGAGTGGGTGGTGAGTGGGTGGGTGGGTGAGTGGGTGGGTGGGTGAGTGGGTGGGTGGGTTGGTGAGTGAGTGAGTGGGTGGGTGAGTGGGTGGATGGGTGGGTGAGTGAGTGGGTGGTGAGTGGATGGGTGAGTGGGTGGGTGGGTGAGTGAGTAGGTGAGTGAGTGAGTGGGTGAGAGGGTGAGTGAGTGGGTGGTGAGTGAGTGGGTGGGTGAGTGGGTGGGTGGTGAGTGGGTGGGTGAGTGGGTGGGTGTGTGGGTAGGTGAGTGGGTGGGTGGTGAGTGAGTGGGTGGGTGAGTGGGTGGGTGAGTAGGTGGGTGAGTGGGTGGGTGGGTGAGTGGGTGGTGAGTGGGTGGGTGAGTGGGTGGGTGAGTAGGTGGGTGAGTGGGTGGGTGAGTAGGTGGGTGAGTGGTTGGGTGAGTGAGTGAGTGGGTGAGTAAGTGGGTGGTGAGTCTATGGTGCAGTGTTGAGTCTATAGGCAGTGCCTATCAGGTCTACGAAATCTAAATATGGATCGCATCACGTGGTCGCCTATCCGCTCTACGTTTTTCTAAACGCGCGTTGCTAAGGCCCCACGTGATCACAGAGGCCTGCGCGAGGTAGCGGCACGGAACGTCTGACCTCAACCCCACAACGAGGTGAGTCTGTGGGTCTCTGTGTGGTGAGTCTGTGTGTCTCTGTGTGAGTCTGTGTGTCTCTGTGTGGTGAGTCTGTGGGTCTCTGTGTGGTGAGTCTATGGGTCTCTGTGTGGTGAGTCTGTGGGTCTCTGTGTGGTGAGTCTATGGGTCTCTGTGTGGTGAGTCTGTGGGTCTCTGTGTGGTGAGTCTGTGGGTCTCTGTGTGGTGAGTCTGTGGGTCTATGTGTGGTGAGTCTGTGGGTCTCTGTGTGGTGAGTCTGTGGGTCTCTGTGGTGAGTCTATGGGTCTCTGTGGTGAGTTTATGGGTCTCTGTGTGGTGAGTCTGTGGGTCTCTGTGAGGTGAGTCTGTGGGTCTCTGTGGTGAGTTTATGGGTCTCTGTGTGGTGAGTCTGTGGGTCTCTGTGAGGTGAGTCTGTGGGTCTCTGTGTGATGAGTCTATGGGTCTCTGTGTGGTGAGTCTATGGGTCTCTGTGTGCTGAGTCTATGGGTCTCTGTGTGATGAGTCTATGGGTCTCTGTGTGATGAGTCTGTGGGTCTCTGTGTGGTGAGTCTGTGGGTCTCTGTGTGGTGATTATGTGGGTCTCTGTGTGGTGAGTCTGTGGGTCTCTGTGTGGTGAGTCTGTGGGTCTCTGTGTGGTGAGTCTGTGGGTCTCTGTGTGGTGAGTCTGTGGGTCTCTGTGTGGTGAGTCTGTGGGTCTCTGTGTGGTGAGTCTGTGGGTCTCTGTGTGGTGAGTCTGTGGGTCTCTGTGTGGTGAGTCTGTGGGTCTCTGTGTGGTAAGTCTGTGGGTCTCTGTGGTGAGTCTGTGGGTCTCTGTGTGGTGAGTCTGTGGGTCTCTGTGGTGAGTCTGTGGGTCTCTGTGTGGTGAGTCTGTGGGTCTCTGTGTGGTGAGTCTGTGGGTCTCTGTGTGGTGAGTATGTGAGTCTCTGTGTGCTGAGTCTGTGGGTCTCTGTGTGGTGAGTCTGTGGGTCTCTGTGTGGTGAGTCTGTGGGTCTCTGTGTGGTGAGTCTGTGGGGTCTCTGTGTGTGAGTCTGTGGGTCTCTGTGTGGTGAGTCTGTGGGTCTCTGTGTGCTGAGTCTGTGGGTCTCTGTGTGTAGAGTCTGTGGGTCTCTGTGTGCTGAGTCTGTGGGTCTCTGTGTGGATGAGTCTGTGGGTCTCTGTGTGGTGAGTCTGTGGGTCTCTGTGTGGTGAGTCTGTGGGTCTCTGTGTGGTGAGTCTAGTGGGTCTCTGTGTGGTGAGTCTGTGGGTATTTGTGTGGTGAGTCTGTGGGTCTCTGTGTGGTGAGTCTGTGGGTCTCTGTGTGGTGAGTCTGTGGGTCTCTGTGTGGTGAGTCTGTGGGTCTCTGTGTGCTGAGTCTGTGGGTCTCTGTGTGGAGGTCTCTGTGGGTCTCTGTGTGGT